TCGTTACTGGGCGTCAGATCCGCTACGTGCACGTGCCTGAGGATATGGACATGACGATGGCAATGAGCAACATGCTAAATAAAATCCAAAAGGGTATGAAGCCCAAACGCTTCGACCAGAAGCCAACCAGAAAGGCGAAACTCGACCAGGCAGTAGCGAAGCAGATGGCACGCCTCAAAGCTTATCAAGAACAAATACAACGCTCAGGTGTTAACCAACTTCCGTTGACCTGAACCGTTTTCTATTGACGCCTATGTTACTCAGTAAAATTACATCGATTTACACTGGCGATTTGCATCTTTTAAAGTTAAACGTTTGGTTCACGTCGTGGCGAAAAGCATCGACTGTACCAAAAGCAGTAGAAGATCAGTTGACAGTTGCTATCTTCAATTTAGGATGCGGCGGATTTCGCTACGGGCTCCTTCTTCGATTCATCTGGCTTTGGCGGATGTTCTTCCACCTCTTTAGGTTTATTCCAACTCTCCAAACCCTTCGGCAGAGAAACGTCTTCGTCTAGTCCACCGGTACCTTCGACGAATTCTTCGTACGTCGACTTCTCCTTGAACGGACGAGGACCTAGCAGTTCTGCCATATCCTCTCGAGCAAGTATTTCCTTTTCCAGCAGTCTCAACGCAACCTATAATATTCGATATATAAGTACTGATGACGGCAGCTGTTGCTAAAAAACCCTCTAATTATAATCACCATCACTTCTAAAACACAACCGGACCGAAAGCAATACGGAACAAGGGAAGGGGTAGCAATGGTAAACAGTAAATAATATTAGTACAAGTTGTATGAAGATCAGACGGTAAACAGTTCAGAGTTTAACGTACAGCAATAAGGGGTAAATGAAAAAATGGAAAAAATTTTTTGGAAGTATGTTCATAATTTATTTATAACTGATTTCAACTTAGTGAAAACCTTGCGTAGAAAATTAACAAAGTCAGCACCGTAAACACTGTATTAACAGGCCGTTATGATGGTAGCCTGTTCAAAGTTGTTGAACTGTCGACGACGGCTTTTCCATGGCACTGCAGCTTTTCCATGGCATGTTTTATCGCACAATGATGTAATCTCGTG